TCTGCTTCTTCCAAATGTGATGCTCAACCACTTTAGCCGGCCCTTTTGGCGTATCGAAACCGACCTCAACAGACACACAAATGCAACATTCACAACCACAATATGTCGCGTTCGATCTCTGAAAAATGTTTGTTGGTTTTATCAATTGCTGGAAATCTACCTAAAGGGCAGTGAATAGAACCCCACCTTGAGATTCTTCGGTTGGTGCTCTTCGAGAAATTTCTTCATTTTTGCACCGATCTCTGAAAAAGTTAGTGATGACAGCTAACTGGAGAATATTTCACTCTGAGTATTTGGAATTTTGCATTGAAAAAAATGTAATGCTTTTGAACAAATGAACTGAGAAATAAATAAATGAAATAAAGTGGGGTTTGAAAAAACCACCTCCCAACACCCTTAAACCAGTGACTTCACCAAAACGTCGTCAAAACTGTTCCGCCCTCCAGCCCTTGTGTTCACTCCTTCCAAACGATATTTTTTGAAAGTACCTGGGAAATGTGTCCGAGCGCCTAAACGACCGAAGGAAACAAATCGTGTAGCGGCCCTTTTCCTTCCTTCATAATCTTTTTCATTGCATGAAAGCGCAATCGAAAAAGCAATTTATCTGTTATAAGCACCGCTTTTAACACATTGCGGACCGCCGTTGTATGAGTACCTTCGTATCTTTTTTATATTTTTCAAAAATGTATCATCATTAATCTATCAACAATTTTATCAGTGATGACACGTATGGTTTCCGGCTCTGAAAATGAGTGCAAGCAGTTCAGGAGCATTGAAAAATGTCAAATAAATCAGATTAACACGTTGGAGACCGCGCATGTTTTACGTTTCTCGGCCGCTTAGGGACTTCAGTGGATTTTTTAAGTCTTATTGAGCAAATTGAGAACAAAACCTATTCAGTGATGTAGACGAAATCTTATTGCATGAAATGGGAAGAAGAAACAAAAGAAAAACTGAGGGGTTACGGTGGAACCGCTTCAATGTGCTGAGTAATTGTTGCACTGGACACGAAAGACACAAACGCCACGTATGCTGCGATTGATAGGAACGGCAGCGGCCGCGGCGGTCAAGCAAGGCCTTAAGCTCCTTTGTGCACACTTTTGAGCCGCGACAATACCACCACCCCTGCGATTTAGGAATCTACTACCTCGCTCAATGACCCACAAGAACGATTCTGCAGTCCTTCCTGCCTTAACCTACGCCTCAGAGACTTGGACTCTGCGCAGGCAGGACGAGCATGCGGTCAGCGTTATCCAACGCGCTGTCGAGAGGACGATGCTAGGAGTAACCCTATACACGCAAGTGCAGAGGGGAATCCGGAGTTCCGAACTACGCCAACGATCGAAGATCAGGGACGCTGCCGTTTTCGCCAAGGAATCGAAGATAAGGTGGGCCGGACACGTCATGCGATTTTGCGATGACCGTTGGACCAGAGCGGTTACCGACTGGCAATTCGATTTCCTTATGAGGCGAGTGTTTTAGCTCCCTTGTGATAACTTTCACATGGTGACCAATACCTATGGTGGAATCAGAAACAAATGCACTATTCACCTATTACTGTCTCTACTGCTGAAAAACCGGACCGGATTTTTATCGAAAGTTATCCAGGACAGGCTAGAAAATTGCCTCGATGGTAGCTCGGCCCACAAAACCCAAACAGCATATTAGTTAAGCGCGAAAACGCCAAAGGCGCCAGAACACCTTAGATAACCAGATTCGCTATCACTAGGAGTAGATCAACTCGTAGAACATGATTATCACATTAATTCTTCGCAAATGAGCTTGTAATCTGCTCCAGGCGAAAAACCAGTGAGATAGTGCTGACTCTTGTTTTGAGGGCGTAATCTCATTCGTATGATATTCGTATTTTACTGATTTACCCCGGGACAACTTTTGAGCCAAATATAGGGTTGTGTCGAATTTCGATAGGAATCTGGCTCAGTTTCCGAGGAGTGGGGGCAGTAAGAGTTGAACAGAGCCTGAACAAGTTTTCTACATAATTACTAGCTTAGGCCGATGTCACTGTTTGCGAATCGACCGGTGCACCAGCGAGTCGAACGACGTACTAGCGAGATCTAGTTTCTGGCGGAAGTCAAGCAGTTCAGGGGGTTTTCGCACTCTCAACAGTGGTCATTGACAGCTTGCTTAAAGCGGAAATCGCTCAGATTCGCAAACTCATTGACATCGGCCATTTGTTGTTTGCGAAAGGCCGCCATGGTTGGAGAGGGGGGGTGGGGAGGTATAAACTTTCCAACCAGGGGGAAGAAAGTATGGTAGGATGTGGAATTGTAGTGTCTATTATTTTGAGTCTAAATGATATGCTATACTTACTACATTCTCATTTATTTTTAAATTTTTCAATTATTTATCTCATGTATAAAGAGAGGAAGTTGGTCTAGTGCTTTCTCGGTTTCTTTTTTTATGGTTTTTTACTTATTCTATTTATTTACTCGGAAGTTATTTAACATAGGAATTGTAGGACCGTAGCAATAATCGGCTCCATATTCACATTACAGTATGACTAGTAACTCACGTTCCTTTCCATAAGAGACCTTCCTTGTTTTTTTGCACAACCACACAGTCAGTGTGGAGGTGTTTGAAGATTGCCTCCATGTTCCTTTCCGTGATATTCTTTTCAAGCTCGGCATAGATCGGCTTGAGCGCTTCTCGAACTTCTCTGGCATCCAAACATATCGATGTTTGATGCGAAGCGGGAGATACTGGTGCGTGAGTGAGTCTTGGCATTGTAGAGTCAGCTAGATTGCTGGTTGCTTGTTCTTTTTACGTTACTGGGCATCTTGGGATTACAGAACGGAGTTTATGATGGGCCGCCTCTCTCAAACTTAGCAGTTCTTGAAAGTGATGCTTGCTATTTTCTCTAGCTGGTCATTTGTAGAATATAGTAGTTTAGAGTGGCACCACCTTTTCGTTTTTTTCTCTCAATGGGCTTTGTGCATAATGTGTTCCTGAAATGGCGGCGTATCTTTCAAACTGCTTAGTATAAAGCGGTATGGTATCGTTCGACGTAACACAACGGTCAACTGCACAGTCTCTGCCAAACGCAGGGTCAGGTAATGTCACTTCTAGGGCAAGAAGGCTGTATCAGCCCTGAAGCATGCATGAGACACGCTGTATAGATTTGCCAGCACAAAATTTAACAAGTTTTAGCGTCGTGAATGGAGGAGAGAGGCATCAGAAAGAAGAGGTTGGCAGTTCGCTAGGCCATGGTCATTTCAGCCGTTAATGTGTTAGTGTCGATGGAATTATTCTGCAGTATCGAGGTAGTGAGCGGCAGCTTTTTGCTTCGATTACGCATATGCGCTGGTCCCCTTCCTCCACCGTATTCTTTTTTCTTTTTAATTTCACAATCTGAACTTTTTTGACAAACAGTGCGTTCAATAAGCCAAAACGAGCATTATTCCGTATTTTTATTGCGTTAAGACGCCCGTTCTACAATAGGCAGCGATGTTCTTGTAATTGATCGGGACCTATACAGAAATGACAGATCCTCGCGAGCTAACCTAGTTTTTGTTGGACACCTTTAGATTAACGAACCGGATTTCATGCTTTCATGAGAAATTACCTCATTAGTGTTTTAGCTAAACGATCTTTTTATGAAATTGAGTCTCCATACTCGCTTTCTATGGGACTTTCATCGGAGCATATATTTAATCGTTGTTGGATAACCGCATTAGAGATTTTTGCTCTTTAACTGGAGGAAAGGGGAGGACTTCATGATTTACTAGAGAATAAAAAACTGGTATTTTTTCGTGCTGTATGTATGTATGGATTTTTGGGGCGTGTTAAGGACATATAAAGGGATATCTAAAGCTTTTTTTGAGTGCTCGACAGGAGGCTCGTCCTGCGGCGAGAAGGCCGAAACTCGGACGCGTCACGGACGAATCGCATGTTCTAGTGATTTTGGCGCAGCCTCTGCGACTCATCCGTTGATCGGAGTGCTTGCGCCTTACCTCTTGTGGCTGCCTCTTTGACCAGTGAGGTGAGCTCAACTACACCAACCAAGTTTTGATCGCTCTCAAAATTTCATAAAAATGATGTTGGGTCTATTTATATAGGAGGATATGACATCTTTTCATCCTGGTAGACCAAGATAGTCAATGCTTAGAACGGATGCGCTTATAAGGGAGTCTACTATCCTGAATAAGAGCCAGAGACATGGCCTTTTGAGAGAAATCTAACTAACAATGCTAGCCTTTTTGCAGCGCACAGTCTTTTATGATCATACGAGCAGTGGAACTAATACTGTAGTGCAGCTAATATAGTATGGACGAACAGGCTCACAGAGTATATAATTTATCAAAGAAGCAAAGATACAGCCACCGACAAGCTCATCCTAGAAACTACTTATTACCTTGTTCATTTTAGAGGAAGGTTTGTTAGCTCAATCCCCCTCCTTGAACTCTCTTCAGAGCAATCGTGCAGTCCTCACAATGATATTCACCATCTAGTTCGTTAAGGTTAGACGAGCTCTGAATTCCCCATGTTTCTTGACTCCTGCCAAGGATTAAACGAATAATTATTGAGATGTTTTGAGAGCAGGAGAAGTCTTACTTATCAATTGATCTACATAGGAGTAAGTGACTACATAATTAATAACACACTGTGGGGGAAAAGGAAAGTCCAAGTAAGGCACCGAGCTGAAAAGTGAACTTGTCTCAGCATTTCAAATATTTATACCTGCCCAAGTAGTTAATTATACCCTTGGCACTTTGTCAACACCCTTCCGCGGGTAAGATAGATGCAACAACGGACAGGTTTTTCAGACGTCTTCAAAGTTACTGGTGGGCTTAGATTGCTTACCATAACAAACAGCAGAAGATAGTAAATACATCAATAATTATTGTAATAGAAAACTGAAGTTTGTGATGCTGAAGATGAAGTTGGGTATTATCAACATAATCGTGAAGCTACAATAGTTCAGATAGTCACGGAAGTAGAATATTTCTCTTCATAGGAATCACAACAATATTACGAAAATAGTATCAGTTTCACTACATTCAGCTTATACAATACTTTAGATGTAAATATTACATCGCAATAGTTTGATAAATGATTTTGAACAAATTAATAATTAAAATTAAGTGCCTAGATTTTATTTGAATTAAGGATCAGCGATAACGCGTTCAGTGTTGACCAATTCTTCCTGGGATTTGCCATGCCGTCTATTTCCATTCAGAAGCGTGGTTTCGATATGAATGCGACATGGCCTATACGACGACCTGCGAAGCTCAGCCGATGTACAGGTCAGCGTTTCTATTTTCCCAAAAAAAGTCTGGTATTAATTACCCGACCCTGGAAGAATGGCGTTCCAGGATTAGAGCAGAGAGTGAAGTCCTAGAGCGAGTAAGGTAGAGTGATCCACAACATCGGGTCGCATCGACTTCGTGGCACTAAGGCAGACAAAGACGAAGGCGTTAGGGATTCCGAGGGGATCCACCCAGCACGGGGGGTTACACCCGCGAATTTAAGTGATAGGCCAAATCGGCTCTGGCTTGTACACATGCTCTCTCATCATCCATTCTTTCCTCTCTCTGCGACTCTCGGTATCTCTTATCTCCCTGTCTGTGCTTGCCCTTCGGAATCCTCCACATTCTGTTTTCAAGGTTCCCGATGATCTTTTTCCTTTTTCTTTGCCATAGCTCCATTTCGCGATTTGACTATTATTTTCGAGCGGAATAGCTATACCAACTTGATCCTAGAAGGTACCTTTCAGATATTTCCATGAGTCTCGGTTCTGCCGTTTAATTATA